CTGGAATTTTTTAATATTCCAAATCAAGGGCTTGATTTTACTTGGCCTTTTGACGACTACGAGGCCAGCGAAGCGTCTGGGAATGTACCAAGTCCAGTATACAAAGCTGGGAATTTTACTACTTAGTATAGCAGAGGACTTCATACAAAGTGAGTCCAGCTTGATTGCACAAACAAAACGAATAAATGGATAACTCTTTTTTAATATTCGCTGATAGTTTCGACTCTAATTTCTTATGAATATAAGTGACATAGTCGGTCTACTACTCTAAATCATAATTACAAACGAACGGTAACTAAGGTAGTCGATTGTCATAACAAATACCAATTTGCTTCGTCTACAAGCTCATCAAAGAATGTGATATTGGAGAATGCCTTCCCCTACTTAAAATTCATATCTGTCCTACGACCAACTGGCACTCATGGCAATGTGGTGTAGTAATTATCACATAACAGTTCGAGTCCCGGTAGAGATTTTGATAAGACCTAGGCGTTGTCGAAAGAGCAGACCATCCTGGATGAAAACACATTCTGGGAAAGCAAGGCTATGTGAAATTTAATATAAACGTCAGCTCCACTCATACCATTGTGGGAAAATTGTACTGCCTGTCCCTAGTCACGTTTCATGAGTCGATTTTTCTTGTAGGTCCGAAGATGAATCTCCTCAGATAACATCATTGTTAAGACTTTCATTTCGTATGAAAGTGCTGGACTTTCGTCCATCATATGAATGACATCATCAAAGTTGTAACTCGTTCTTGTAAGCGTCTCGCGTATGAAATAACCAACCAAATAATAGGATGCCTCGTTAAAATCACACAATTAGATATAAAATTTGAGTAAGTTTGCAGCCGTTCACCTTGGTTTAGTATATTGATGTTGTTTTACGTAAAGTATGATTTCATACTTTGATGATGTCTGCCATATAGCAGACAAGGCTGCATGAAAGATTGGCGATGTCTTCTTCGCATTGTTCAACATTGTTCACTTTCAGTTTCTGGTGAAGCCAATTTTTCAATTCCTACAGACCTACTTTTCCTCTAAAATTTAAAGTCAAGTTTTTTTATATACGAAAACTAGTAGGATATGACTTTTGGCTTGGTTGCAGCTTCCTTTCCCGGCAAAAGCCTACCTTAGTCTCTAAGTTGTAAGGGAAGTTTCGAATAAGTTTGCGTGTTCTTCGCATAGCATTAAACAATAAAGTACAAGGAAGCAGTATGGAATCCATTTCTTGAAGTCTCCCAGAAAGCGCAACTAAGCTGAAAATATGAGGCCAAACCAAGTAAATGTTTCTGGAAGTTACATTTAAAGTGATTTTGCTAAACTCCTGTTTTTTTAGCATTGAATTATCCTAATTTTTTAATTCCTCAGGCGACAGACTGAAGAGGCTTCTGTTTATTGAATATAAACAGAACGACAATCACAACCTGATGAACATATTTCATCAAACATGCTTTAATCTGACTAATTATCCAAATACTCTTTGCTATAGTGACACTCTTTTTAAAACTGATAATATATTAACTGGAAGGGTGTTTGAATATGTTCACTGATTTGTATAATGTTATTGTAAAATTCGGCATTACAAGTTATAATAATATATCATACTATACATTTTATTATGAAGAATTCAATAGTCTTTGCTTATTCAGTCATTATAACCTGCAATTCGTCAGGATGTGGTTAAATTTTTGCCCTGATTTCTACAATTCTACTTAAATATCGGCGAGTATTCTGCATCTAAATCGAAATAAAATAGGGAATAAGTATGATTAAGCTTTGAAGTGTAATCAATATACGAAAAAGAGTTCGGCTTGGAAAATCTCTTGGTATGCACTTGGGAAAATCGCTTTCATTTCGAATAGAAATGCGTGATAACTAGATTTGAAAGTTGATTCCATTTATAGACAAAGACACATTCTTCTTGAACAGTTGTCATTTGGCTTTTCCGAAGCATTCTGTTTGATTTGAAGACTTTAATTTCGTATGGAAATACATGATGAAGAAATGCATAGGTCAATCTCATCAGAAAACGTTGGCTGATTTATGTTGTTCTGCTACCGTTTGGCCATAATACGACGTTCAAGTCGATGCAGTCCACCGGACATCTTCCTAAATTTCGGGCGAGGATGTGCTAAGCTTTCGTTCGTCATGTGATGAGCAACATAGTGGGTCCTATATTTCTCTCTAAAGAAGGTATAACCAAAGAAAGTTTTAGAGTTTCTTTGAAAACTCTCTTTGTCCCCCACTTTCTCACTAGTTCTTCCAGCTTTTTGAAGGAAAACATGACGGCAAAAGTAAAACACGAGAAATGGTATCGGCTTTTCTCTCGCCGATCAAAGAGTCTCTGCCTGAAAATGTATTCCTCATTCAAGATATATTATTATCAATTAAGCCCAAAGGATAAATGTTCTCCAGGAATAGACCTCTTCAGTCAGATGATTTTCGTCCCCCAGCCTTATGTTCTAGTTCTAACGCAATCTTGGTCAGCCTTTTTTCTTTTTTTCCTATGGTTCCTAAGCTTTGATTACCAGGAGATGTTTTTGACCTTTTTTCCAATAACTCTCAGTTATGCTCGGTTTTGCGTACAGACGTTAACACACATAGACGCACTAGAGTTTACGCGAATTAACCAAACCTTTCTCTTTCCGTTAATATCTTAAATTTTGCTCGCAGTGAGTATGTAATTTAACTTGAGCATTTTGCAAGAATGAGTCCCAGCTCTGACGATGCTCAGCCCATCTTTGCCCGAAACGGAGATGTCTCGTGGACTGTATCGGCCAAACGGCTGCAGTACAATGCAAATTAGCCAACGTCTTCTGGTGAGATTGAACTATAAAGTTCTTCGTCATGTATCTCCATACGAAATGAAAGTCTTCAAATTAATCTTATCTTATGTGATTTTTTAAGCCAGCATTTATTTCGCATATGATGGAGTCATAAGCTTTCTTCCCTTAAATGATGTACATCCTTACAACTAATGCAAGTAATTATTTCAGAAAAATCAACGGCTTATTCCATCATGCTTAACTTTACGATTCTTGTGCTGAAAATTATGTAGCGTGTTTCAATATTGCATATGTTTAGTGAAGAATTTATATGAATTCGGTGAATTGCTATATCAGCAGATTACTTCTGACGTGAGCGCCATGATAAATCTTGAAGTGATATTACTTTTTGCCAACATTCATTGCCTTGCATCCGAATATGTATTCGCATACTGGGTAGGGTGACTGTTTGATCCCACCTGAGCCTCATCCCCATCCCCAGAGAAAGGCGAAGATGGGTGGCGAAACGAATAATTTGACACGTAACCACTACTCCACACTGCCACGAATGCCAGTGGGTCAAAGGGCAGACGTGATATTAAAAAGAATGTTTCTTTTATATCAAAGTAATGGTAGAAATCGTGGATAAGTCAAACTTCTATTATTCTATTAGATCGACTAGGCAACATAGTATATGCGAAGAAAAGTTGGGTTTCGAGGAATCTCTTGTTTCAT